ATATGTAAGATATTTGCATTAAAATATCCACACACACAAAAAACACTAGAACAATGTTGTATATTTTGTTGACTTGTATACTAACATTATTCCAAATGTTTACAACAATGTGTAAATCCAGAGAAATTGTGTCACCTGTCAACGGCATCATATTCCCCCTCAGTTGTCGGTAGAAACCATGGAGAAACAGTGGGCTTCCTGAAAAATGCAGTAGTACTAGTTGTAGCATCAATGCCGATGGTCTCTGGTAGCGTCTAGCAAGCCACAGTTGTTTGTTTTGAACATTCGTGATGGACCACAATTATTCATTATCGTTTGCTGTGGGTTCTGCCGCCAAAGATAACTCCATAAAGCAAAAACGGCTGTTAAGGTGATCACGGCAACTCCCATGATTTCTCGCTCCGTCACTGCGTCATCAAGCTGTATCTTTATTTTTTTCGAATAAGCGACCTCTAGCAGTGAAACTTACATACTGTGCCTTACATTTTTCCCTTTGTTTTTTTTTTGTTTTTTCTATTTGTGTAGTTGTAGATAGATATTTTGTTGTTTTGAACCAGGTCAAATATGTTACTACCAGGGCCACAGTAAGCAATTATTGGGCCAGGTACAAAACCTTCGCTTTCCACCCCCCTCCGCAATCCAGTCTAGGCGATGGATGGATGGATGGATAGATAAATAATAACATGTAGATACTAAAAGAAGATGAGAACTTTTGGTGCCTGCTGAAAAAATAAAATTAAAATGATGGATGGATAGATAGATAATTGATCCATGTGTTGAGCATTTAGAGTGAACAGAGTGAGCCCCTCCAGCTGACTTGTAATAGTTCCCGTTATTCAGGTAGAACATTAAAAAAAATGTTCCGGACTCAAGACAAAAGGTCCAATTTTACCCCCTTTTCAACAGCCCTGGTTACCACTAGTACTTGCTTCTCTTAAATGTTCTTCTCTGATGCATGTTGTGGTCTTCTGTTGAGTCCTATAAAGATCCATGAAGTGGTTTTGAGAGCAGCAGAACAACTGTACATGGAGCAGTGAGCATTATGTGTTTGTTAAAAGGTGGAGTTCGGGTTAGGTGAGGACTTATTTTAGAGGAAGTCCATGAAGGTGAGCACTTTCCAAACGTTTATCCATTCTTTCCTTCCCTGACACATTTCTGCAGATAATTTTCTTGACTTTTTCTTGAGTCCCACAGATTTAGTCTCTATTTTTGTACAGTTCTTTTTGTTTGTAGAGAACAAAATAAAGTTCACATCTGAAACAGCTGAAAGGTAACTGAAAAAAGAGATCTGTCCTTGTATTTTTTATTCAGTTGAAGCATCACCATACTGATGTGGCTGAGCTGTCAAAGCCACATATAGAAATATAAAACCCAGGGGCCTCATGTATAAAACTTTCCACAGATTACATCCTAAAAGTGTATGCACAAAAGCAAGATTTTCCATATGCACAGAAGTTTTCAGATTTATAAATCCATGCGTACACCAGAACCTGCACAAAATTCCCTTTATAAAACTCAAGCTCAAAATCAGCTGAAGATAAATACATATATGGAGCTTACAGCGCCTATAGTTTTACTATGCATAACGTCATCTGCATATATAATTTCCATATGCATATTCCTATCCACGTGATACCATGTTTTACGGTACAAGACGTTAAGAAAATATGAAATTCGGACTATAAATGCCATTTTCACATTACATTGCTAAAAATTATTCGAAACCCATGTCTTGAAACTTGTTTATGAAAAGCATGTCACTGACCAATTTTAAAAAGAAAACCTGCAATCTTACAGTTTCCTTCAAAAAATGCACTTCATAATCTGGTCTAACATATTCGGATGCAAGGAAGGTCTTTAGGATCGCTAGAAACTTCCAGGAGCAGGATTGGACACCCCTGTTAATGAAACCAGAAGCTTGGCTCACTCAATTTTGTAATAAAATATCCAAAAATTACTTGCACAGTGTGATATATTTCCTGCAGTTGTGTACAATATCCCAAAAGCCTCCAAAGATTTTTTATTTCAGAGAAATTCCAATTTTAAATAAGTGGCCGTCCCGGAAAAAAATGTCGCCTGTCAATGACGCAATATCCGCGCTATCCTCGGTTTCCGTTCATACTGCCATAGCCATGACGTAACCATGGCGACAGACGTGGACAACTGCGTAGTGCGTAACGTTTAGCGGCACGCAGTTCTTGTTTCTTTCAAACATAGACCATGGCAAGCAGACTTTGGGACAAACAAGGAGAACTAAAATGAGGTTCAATATCAGTGTGGCGTTTTTGACATGCCGAGAGCTCCACGTCCGCGACTAACTTGGACTTGACAGAGCTTCAGCTTTATTAGACAGGTGAGCAAATGTACATAAAACATCATTGTTATATAACGTTAGCTCAACATGATGAAATGTTAGAATATGGTCAGTATGTTATTTTAATGTTGATCTAGCTTACTGCTAGTTTCGACGAACTAACACGTGGTATAACATTATAACTTTCAACACACATTTAAATGCCGTTTAGTGTGATAGTGTAACGTTAGACCAAGTGAATCAGCGCTGCGTTACCTCACAAGTTTAATTCGTCTAATAAACTGACCTGTGTGAGTAATACAGCACTTGCGGGGTAGTTCGGTAGAATTAAATGTCCTTATTCTTTTATATCCGCGGGACTCGCGTGTGATATCTGTCTCTTTAGCAATCGCGACCTGCTTCATAAATGTTAAAAAACATGAATGTTTGCACTCATCCATAAATATTATTAGATCCATCAGCTTGACAGCAAGTCCCATCATTCAGCTCATCACTGCGTCATAAACCTACGCCTTTGTTATTGTTGGAAACTGCGCCCTCTTGTGGTGAAAAAAAATCGTACATATTGTGCCTTTAACACAGATAAATTGTTGGCATAGGAATGATGAAATCAGCTGTTTATCTAACATTTTTAATGGCAGGATTGTATGAAAATGTACCGGAATATGTCAGGATCTCTATCCATCGGTCCATACAGTGGCTTTGTCGGTTCATTGATCAGTTTGTTTTCTCAGTCAAGTATCAGTAAATGTGTCTCAGTTGATGCAGATAAACTGCCGTGGATAAAAGTTTGAGTCAGTATAAGCTGTATTCATCTATGACACTCTGTATTGCTCCATATTCGTCTTTAGCTCCCCTCTACTGTAAGAGCTGACCCAGTTTACTATGAAGTTTAACTTGCAGGCATGGGTTTAATGAGTAATTATATAAATTCATTTATTTTTCATTCATAGCTCTTCCTTGAGTTAGGCAAAGACTGGAAATAAAACTGCCCGTGTGATCCAAATAAATTACATCTGCTTGCGTGATTGCATGTGTGTTTGGTCATGTTTGACTTTATGAACTGGTTAGTGATGCATGACTGCATAAGTGGGTGCCTGGATGCACATGAGTCATGAATCATTATTGTGTGTGTGTGTATTAAGTGTGTTTGTTGTCTTTACGACACTAAAACTGTGTTGAAAACATTGGAGTCCAGCTATATTCCTGTTACATAGCAATACTGCTGATGCGCTGGACGTACACATATCTGCACATTCAGCAACATACTCAGCTAACCCACTCACCTTCTTCTCGTCATTGCTCTCTTTCTCTCTCTCTCAGTCCCTATCTCTCCTCCTCTTCCGCGCTTTCCCTTTTTCACTGTCCTGGAAAAACACTGGAAAAGCACAGCAGTTGACAGCTGTATCCTTTTTAGCCAATCAGAGCTCTCTCTCGTACTACCAGGCACTCAAACTCAGAGCACTCTGTACAATATCTGCCCCACAACAAGCAGCTCGAACACGCTCATTCTCTCTCTCTTCTTCTCAAGCTAGCTTGTTCTCTCTACTGCCAGAATGCCTGTGTACTACATGTGACAGGCTGCATTACAGACCACAGATTTACACAGGCACAGCCGGGGCAGCCCTGGGGCCTGCAGCCAACTGAGCCTCTCATTCTTACTCAGATCATCTTCCTCTGATCTTACTCAGATCATCTTCCTCTAAAGGCCCACATGCCCTTTACAGTCCGCTGTGATAAAGATGAAGATGAAAGTGCAGTGGTGATCATTTTAAGTCACAACCTGAAATTTTCCCTCCTTATACATTGCATGTGTAATGTGTAAATGTGCAAGACAGCTCTGAAGGCAAAAGTGTGAAAACTATTTTAAGATAAATGTAAGTGTTTTCCAGTTGGTATTCTAGCACAGATTAGATAGTCTATTTTTTGTAGTACTTCAACTTATTTCAGTTAGCTACCAAGGCAACATTTAAAATTTTCATTGTTTTGTTTTTAGTAGGGCTGTCAAATGATTAATCGTGATTAATCACATCCAAAATAATTTTTTTTTACATAATATATGTGGGTGCACTGTGTATAATTATTTTATATATATAAATACACACACATGCTTGTATATATTTAAGAAATATTTTCATGTATATACTGTATATAGATTTATATATAATTTATATTATATATAAATATAAATATTTTATATATAAATAATATTTTTTTCTTAAATATACATGCATGTGTGTGTATTTATATATATACAAAATAATTATACACAGTGCACCCACATATATTATGTAAAAAAAAACTTTTATTTTGGATGTGATTAATCGTGATTAATCATTTGACAGCCCTAGTTTTTAGTTTTAGTTTTTTTCACATTTAATACTTTTTAATATTTTAAAATTATAATAGTTTTTCTAAAATTTGCATTGTATTTTATTTCAGCTTCTTTTCAAATAACGAAAAGTTTAGTCAAACTGGTTCATAATTTGTATAAATGTAGTTAATTAGCGAATCACAAATCATTGAATTTAATTGTTTTTTCCCCTCTAGTAAATTATTTGGTCAAAAATTGAGGGAACTGAAAAGGGAGTAGAGCATGAAAATGAAGCTTCTAATGATTTTTTTTAGGGAAGGAATGAAATGCTTACCCCCCCCCCCCCCCCCCCCCTAATTATAGCCTCTATTATGGACACTTAGTCCAAACTGTCTTCCTTTTCCAAGAACAATATGAACAGCACTAGGGAATGCAGAGTATAGATGTAAAGAACGCTGAGTGAAGCACTTCCTCCAAGCATCTGTGCTGTGTTTCAGTTCATCTGGACGGTTGGGATTTTATGCTATCAGAAAGATTGGAATTAATTTGCATACAATTGAATATGTAAACTATTAAAGTGTAACCGATTTTCAACCTTCTTTGTATTGTTGTCAGTATGTATATATAAATGAACAATGTTTACTCGTTCTCCGTGTTACCTGAACCGAGAAATTGACATTTACATTTAATTGACGGTTCAAAACTCAAGAGCTTTCGTGAAAACTACAGATTATACTTCCGCATTTTTGTATCCCCGCCCACGGACAGTCGGATTGACAGAACAGTTATTGTAAGGGTAGGTTTATCACTTGAAGTGATACTTCGTCTGCTCTTAAAATAGTATTATAGAAAAAATGGAACACTATGGCAAAAGCTTTCTTATCTGTACGCGACGGTGTTTTGCTTTCGCAGATTGAGCGGAACTGACAGAACGGTAGTGTCTTTCAGGTTTTCCCCTCCTTTTGATCAAAAACACTATTTGTGTGGTCATCAACACGGGTTTTTTTTTCAGATTTTCAGCCGTGCCATTCTCTCTGTAATCCTTACAACGCGCTAGATTCTTCCCTGGTGCTTCACTCCCGCTAAATGTTTACTCTTTGAATTCTTGCACCCGGGAACAATACAAGTCGACACCATTACGACTCAAATTTTGTATTTCCTACTAAAGCAAGGTGGTATTTGACTCTTGTCAAGCGTATCCATAGCGGACTGGTGGGTGTGGCCTTGGATGGCAATATGCCCAGTGCATTATGGGTGTTGAAGTTAGCCATGTTTTATTGAAAGCTCATTTTGCCAGAGGTACCCCTTTAACCAAGTGCCTGCATTTCCCTCTTTTACAGGTAACCGGGACGGGGGAAAGCTTTAAAATACCTTCCCCTGCTCCTGATTGGTTCTCTATACCATGAGCTCTGGCTCCGCCCAGGATGTGGCGGTGGAGAATTTCCTGCGTGACATAGAGAGGCGGGGCCAGTGGCTGCACTGCGCTGTTATTGGCTGTGAGGAGGAGCATCCCCGTGGCAACATGAACCTGTTGTACCGCAAAAGTCGACTGGACTGGAGACACAGAGATCAGGAGGGCAAGAAAAGGTAAAAGAGAGACAATAATCAGAATGAAAGAAGTCTGTGAGCCTGCTGTAGGAGAATAAAGGAATATGTGAGGAGAGAGAAAGATAGAGGGGGTTACAGAGATGCTTTGCAGTGCTTAAATGAAAGGTAAAGGAAAGAAGGAGGTGAGAGGAAGATTAGTAAAATCCTGATGTGATAAAGAAGGTGAGAAAAAGTTGAAACTGAAGGAGCGTATAGAATGAAAAAGATTATCAAGGAGAAGAGAGAGAGAACGAAATGGAGGAATAGGACACGATTAAGAGAAGTCTTAACTCGAAATAGAGACATTTGTCTTTCATATTTTATGCAAAGCATCCAAATCTTCCTTTCGTCTGAGAGACAGGAGGGAGAGAGCAGGATATATTCAACACAATCTGCCCCTCTGGTGTCTCAGTGGATCAGCAGCTGGACATTTTGAAAACAGACTTTTTGTTTAATTATCTTACAAATAAATATAATTAGCCATATCAATTTATTCTGTTTTTTTTTTTTTTTTTTGCTTTTAACTTGTTAACTTTAAATTATAAGAAGTTGATTTTGTATATTTGTTTTAATTAATTGTTTATATGTATCAACAGGTGAATCATGCACTGATATTACAAATCTGGCCAATAATTATTTTCATCTTATGGATAATAACCAAGAAATTGTTAGTATTAAATTTCTGTATTTTATCTAAATAATTTAAAATAAAATACTAAAAAATAAAATCACTTCTTGTAAATGTGACAAGTGAATTTAGGCATCACAACATAATGCATGAAAAATGGATATTCATTTTGACATTTATACACAAGATTACATTTAACAGCATTATTAAATGTATTAGTGTTTGTAAAGATTAACTTTAAGTTAGCATTAGATGATCACAAAGATAAACAATAAAATATACAATATCAAACGAGACTGATAACCTAAAACTGATATTAACTGCTATTAATATCATGCATCCCACAAAATAAAAACACTCCTTTTTATTTTGTAAATGTGTGTACCTACTTAACCATATTTTGGGGACAAATTTGTACCCAGAAGTGGGCTAAATCAGACAAAAACTCCTTTTGGGGGCAAAAAAAGAAAAGAAAAGAAAAGAAAAAAACTTTGTAAATAAAGTTTATTGTAAAAATTCAGAAAGGAAAAATTCTGTTAGGTTTCAGTACGTTTAACTTTAAATACTAGTAGTGAGCTAATCAGAAAAGAAGTCTATGGAATATTGCCAATTAGTAAGTGTGAGTGTGAGTGTGAGTGTGAGTGTGAGTGTGAGTGTGAGTGTGAGTGTGAGTGTGTGTGTGTGTGTGTGTGTGTGCGTGTGCGTGTGTCATGTCAGCTGTGATTTCCTGTCCTAAATCCACATTTCTTCTTTAAGACACATTCAGTTTCATATGTAAGTCTGTATATTACCATATTCTGCAATGCTTTGTTTACATCTTCAACTGTGTTCTTTTAAGTGCTTTGTTCCATCTTTAATTCCTTTTAGCTGGGCAGGATTGATTGCAGCCCCTCTCTCTCCATCTCTGTGTTTCTGGATGAAGAGGAGAATGCATTTAGATGATTGTCTCTGACACCTGTGCAAATGGACATCAAAGCTCTTTTCATCCGCTCTGTGTTCTACATTCATGACACACGCAGAACCCACAACACATCCTGAGCTTAGACAAACACGCCTGCTTTTATTATAAACTGCTCACACATGCAGACAGACATGTGCTGTCACATCAAACATGCTTTGATACATGCACAGTATCTTCAAGCAGTGATCTCAATCTTCTTCCAGCTATTTCTCTCCCGTTTACAGACGTAAAGAGATACACAAGAGGTCACCCACGCATGCTCGCTTTCTGTCTGGAGGATCTGTTCACTTCCTCTCTCGTCCTCCCACTCAATCCCTCCATCCTCCTCTCTGCTGCTGAATGCAGATGATTCTCATTCATTTATCCATCTCTTCCTGTTCCCCTCTGCTTTTCTCGCATCTTGCTGTCAGTCTTTGCATATGAGTGGCAGTAAATGAATGCATGAATCAAGTGAATCATTTAGTATGTTAGTAAACTGATTCTGGACTCTAATGCAAAGAGAAAGCCATGTAAGAGCCACATGTTGTGCAGCCTTAAGCAAAACAACAGAAATAGAGCAGACGAAATCGCTTCAGTTCCCCGTACCTTTGAGCTTTCACTCTGCCATGTGAAGCATCGTGTCAAATAAAAGCGAACAACCCAAAATCCTCAGCTATGAGAGAAAACCTCATATGACTGTCAGTCTGTTCGCTCTCATATCGCTTTTAAGCAGACGTATTTTAACATCCCAAATTCTTTGGCACAAATGGGTTACAAACCATAGCATTTATTTTGTACAGTGATTAGCATAAAATTTTAGTACACTACCGTTCAAAAGTTTGGGGTCAGTAATTTAAAAAAAATAATTTAATACTTTAATTCAGCAAAGACGCATTAAATTGAAAAAAAAGTGACAGTACCGTTGTTACAAAAGATTTCAAATAAATGCTGTTCTTTTGAACTTTCTATTCCTCAAAGAATCCTGAAAAAAAGGTTTTAAACATTGATAATAATAAGAAATATACATTGAGTAATGATGCTGAAAATTCTGCTTTGCCATCACAGGAATAAATTACATTTGATAATATATTCAAATAGAAAATGGTTATTTTAAATTGTAATAATATTTCACAGTATAGCTGTTTTTAATGTATTTTTGATCAAATAAATGCAGCCTTGGTGAGCATAAGAGACCTCTTTCGAAAACATTTTTAAAATCTTACCGACCCCAAACTTTTGAACGGTAGTGTACAATATTTTGTTTCAGTCACCAATTTGTTGTGGACAAGTGAAATTCCAGGAGTTTGAGTTTGGAAAACATCCTAAATTAAACATCGCACAATGAGAGAAAATAATTCAGTCCAGTGGTTTGTTCTGAATATGTTACTATGGTGTGTGCAGCTGAAACTGTGTGTCTTTCATGGATTTTATGATGGGATGATTAAACCCATTCTGGTCTTTTTGTCCAGATTATACCTGGAAGTCTCCATTGCCAACTCATATGCCATGTCCCCTGCCTGCACATCATATCCTGTGGTGCTGTTCATTTCTGTTCGTGTGTGTCACACTCTACTAGCTCAGCATCTTCTCTGCCTTCTGCCTGACAACAGAGACTCACACACACATGAACACACACACACTGCAGAACAGTGTATTGATGAGTCGCTTCCATCTGGACTTTGTGCACATCAACCTTCATAAAGGTCAGAGCAGGGGGACACGGTGGACTCTGGACAATGTTTACACATCTTAAAAGTTGACAGGAGGAAGTTCGTGATTTTCTAATATAACAGTTGAGCATAGGAAGAAAAAACATGATCACAAAAGAGATTTCTTTAATAGCTGTAATTGTTTGAGATTGAATGGAGACTTTCCTTTAGTTTAGTTTAGTTTTTTTTTTTTTTTTCATAATTTTAGTATGAAATCAAACATTTCTCATCAAATGCTTGAAAATACCAAATTGTCTACAGTATGTTTTAATCGTATCCACATTATTTATATTTAGGTGTTCAAGCACGAAGTGCTGAAAACCTATTGTATTTGTACTGATTTTTATTATTTTTATTATTATTCTTCCGCCGTAAAACGCATCGTGCAGCCCAAACCGTAAATGCTAGAGACTTGAAACTTTGTCAGATGGTAGTACAAAAATCGAGGAGAGCTTATCAAATTATGAGCCCGATTGGCCCATAGGTGGCGCTATAGCAACCAATTGCGCAAAACTGCTCATAACTCCTAGACCGTAAGTCGTAGACTCAAGTGTCTTATATCATTGGAAAGCTGGACTCCTGACTTAAAAAACGTATATCTCCGATTTCATTTCCGTCATGATAGATTTTCCGCCATTTTGAATTTTGTCAAAAAACGACTTTTGCGAACTAGTCCCTGATTTTTCGCCCGATCGGAACCAAACCAGTGCACAAATGTTCTGTGGAGTCTGAATATAAATTATAATCGAAAAAAAGTTGAAATTTCGATTTCCGGTCGCTAGGGGGCGCTAAAAGAACGTTGTGGGAGGAGCCTATTTTACTAAAATGGCTATAACTCCAGAAGTAAATTAGGTAGGTTCACCAAACTTGGTACACGTGTGCATGACTTCAATCTGAGGTCACAGTAAAAATATCGCGACGATCGAACACTAGGTGGCGCTATAACATGAAAAAAACATATAAAGGACTGACCGTTAGTCCGATTGACTTGAAAATTGGTATGCAGTGTCTTGGTCCAAGGCCCCATGTATGTCTATGAGGACATTGGCGTATCTTAAAAAACATGGCCGCCATCGACCAATGAAGTTTGAGCCCCTATGAGACGAGGTTAACGGAGGCCAATCGGAACGAAACTCGATGGGCATGTTCGACTCATGGCCCAAGAGGTCTGTAAGAGTTTTGAAAGAAATCGGCCACTAGTTGGCGCTAACGAGTTTTACGGCTCTGTAATCACGTGGTGTTGCTCACATCCCCACAAAATGCATATAATTTGATAGATCTCCTCATGATGAACAACTTTGCCTCTAGAACCATTGCTGTCAATCAAACCGTTCATTAAATATTCACGAATATGTTAAAAACCTACTTTTGCGAACTAGTCCCTGGTTTTTCACCCGATCGGAACCAGACCAGTCTAGGACAATTCTCTGGACTCTCTAGATCAATAATTATCAAAAAAAAGTTGAACTTTGCCCTTTGCTTTGCTATAACAGCATCATTTATGAAAATAGGTGTGCCAAAACACACTCAAAAGCCTATAAATCATAAATAAAAACTCAGAACTTCACAAAAATTGGTAAGCATATGTGACATAACATCATGAACATGCATGCAAAGTTTTATGGAGATCGGACCATAGGTGGCGCTATAACTGTTGAAAAGCTTTAAAACCATGTATTTCCTATGGTAAATTGCCTGTATTTGCTGTAAATGGTCTTTTCCATCTATTATCATATAATCTTTATATTATAATGTTCAAAATCAGGGCAGTACAATTCTCTGGACTCTCTAGATCAATAATTATCGAAAAAAAGTTGAACTTTGCCATTTGGTTCATTATAACAAGATAATTTACAAAAAGGGGCGTGTCAAAACACACTCAAAAGCCTATAAATCATAAATAAAAACTCAGAACTTCACAAAAATTGGTGAGCATATGTGACATAACATGCTGAGGAAGCATGCAAAGTTTCATGGAGATCGGACAATAGGTGGCGCTATAACTGTTGAAAAGCTTTAAAACCATGTATTTCCTATGGTAAATTGCCTGTATTGGCTGTAAGTGGTGTGTTCCATCTATGATCATATAATATTTATATCATAATGTTCAAAATCAGTGCAGTACAATTATCTGGACTCTCTAGATAAATAATTATCAGAAAAGTTATAACTTCTTCATTTGGATGGCTATAATAGGGTCACTTCAATATGTAGCCTTGACCAAGAAAGCTTCTTAAGCTTCTTGTTTTCTTCTTAAAAACAAGTCAGAACATGTGACTCTAAATAAGATAAGAAATAATGCATCTATAACAGTTAAAACGGTTAAAGTTATAACATAATGGCATATTAAGCCAATAAGTGGTATTCTACTGCCCCCTGCTGTTTAAAATAGTCATTTTGTCATGCTACTAACTACTAATATTCTATAATTCTTATTTAGAGTTTATAAAATCACTATTTTAACATTTACACTCACATTTTGTCAAAATTCATCTATTGAAGCATTGTGTCACAGACAAATGTTAATCCTGAATGACAGACAGTTCAAATCACTTTATCTACAACAGAATGTGTGTGTGTAGTCCCATGTTTCTGAATAAATCCTGAATAATCTGATTAATAGCTTGCAAAGACATATTTGAATGGTCTATAAGCATTTCATATATTTTCATAATGACGTGTGTGTGTGTGTGTGTGTGTGTGTGTCTAGATATGAATGCAAAAAGACTTTATTAATAAGTAGAGTGGCCAGCAGAGGGCAGTAGAAGACCACTTATTGGCTCACTTTCATTTTAACAGCCTTGAGTTTCAACAACATTCTGAACTAAAGCAAATCATGCTAGAACAGGGTAAATCATGTAAAGCATACTACAAAATGGAATATCATGGTAAAACTATGGTAAATCATGCTAGATTCATGGTAAATCATACTAGAACATGGTAAATCATGGTAAAAGTATGGTAAAGCATGGTAAAACTATGGTAAATCATGGTAAAACTATGGTAAATCATGCTAGAATCATGGTAAATCATACCAGAGCGTGGTAAATCATGGTAAACGATGGTAAATTATGCTACAACAGGGTAAATCATGTAAAGCATACTAGAACATTGTGAATCATGCTAGATTCATGGTAAATCATACTAGAACATGATAAATTATGGTAAAACTATGGTAAATCATACTAGATTCATGGTAAATCATATTAGAACATGGTAAATCATGGTAAAACTATGGTAAATCATGCTAGATTCATGGTAATTCATACCAGAGCGTGGTAAATCATGGTAAACGATGGTAAATTAGGCTACAACAGGGTAAATCATGTAAAGCATACTAGAACATTGTGAATCATGCTAGATTCATGGTAAATCATACTAGAACATGGTAAATCATGGTAAAACTATGGTAAATCATACTAGATTCATGGTAAATCATTCTAGAACATGGTAAATCATGGTAAAACTATGGTAAATCATGCTAGATTCATGGTAATTCATACCAGAGCATTGTAAATCATGGTAAACGATGGTAAATTATGCTACAACAGGGTAAATCATGTAAAGCATACTAGAACATTGTGAATCATGCTAGATTCATGGTAAATCATACTAGAACATGGTAAATCATGGTAAAACTATGGTAAATCATGGTAAAGCTATGGTAAATCATACTAGAACATGGTTAATCATGGTAAAATTATGGTAAATCATGCTAGTATCATGGTAAATCATGGTAAACGGTTTTCCATCTATTATGTCAGTGGTTACATGCTTGCTAAATGTCTTTAATGCTTATGTGCTAAAAGGGCTTAACTGCTTGAACACCGCTAAATGCTGCTTGCAGCTTTAATTCTCTATATTTTTGCTGTAAGAATTGTCTCATTTCTGTTCTCATTTTTCATTCAAAGAACATCTAGAAAACACTTGATACTTACAGTGGTTTAAACTCAATTAAGTCTTGAGATATAAAAAGAGCAATATCAGTTTCCTCTGGGTGTTTCTTTTGCAAGGAAAAACATCTATATCTCTAAATATCTCCAAATAATCTACTAACTCACCCCATCACCAGAAAACAGCATTAGTGATTAATTTCTCTTTCAGTGTGTGTGTGTGTACAAATGGCAACCCACTATTTACCACCCACAATATACTGCTTGGCCACACCTGAATTAGTGTGTGTGTGTGTATACATGCATGCACATATGCCAGTGTGTGCTCTGTATTTGTGTGTTTAGTGAAAAAAATCAGCAAACAATAAACAAATGACAGGCTAGTTGCCTTGGAAACAGGGAGAGCATACTAGTAGATTCAGGAGAATAAGAAAAGATGCAGAGAGAGGGATGAAAGGAAAGACAGGGCCCGTGGACAAAGTCTTTTTTTTTGTTTTGGGAAAGAGGGCAAAAGATCAGCTGATTAAACAATGCTTGCAAACATGTCATGAGGAAATATTAAAGGAATAGGGCAACCATTTTTATATGAACTATCCCTAAGAAATCAGGATATAAAGTCGCAATGAAAAAGAAACGTTAGATTTTTTCTTCCATTTTGTGACGTGTAAAGGATTATCGAGGGACTAAAATGATCGGATAAGTCCTGCATACAGTACGTCACCAGAGAGAAGTGTGTTGTTAAACCGGAAGGTCCTGTTAAGACTTTTAAATAAATACATTTTTAAATAAATAAATAAAATAAACATATACATGGATAGATTGTTCACATCTATAACATGAATTTAGAAAATAGATAGGGTGAATTGTGATTTTATGCTGACTTTAAGAGAATTGAAGAGGGAGAAGATGAAAAAAAAACAATGAAAGAATAAGAAAGACGGAAGGGGACCTGAGGAAAATGAAGGAGAAGAGAAGGATGGGAGGGTAAAGGAGGCTGTTGGGTCTCTCACAGGCTGGCATGAACTGTTTCCTCTCTCATCATTCATCCCGAGCGTGTGTGTGTGTGGGGCGACCAAGTGTCCTCACAAGGATAGTAAAACCTGAAAATGCCTACATTGTGGGAACTACAAAAAAAATGCATAATGAACATATTAAATATTATTTTAATGAAAATCAAAACATATGCCTGTGAGGGTTTGGTTTAGGTTTACAATACAGAAATCATTAACTATAACATTAAACAATATAAGTCAATGGAAAATTTCTGTTATGACACAGAGTGTACATATTATTTGTATTGGTCTGTTTGACTGTGCAGTAGTAGGGGGGATGTATTAACTCCGGAAATGAGCAAAGGATGAGAGTGAATAACAGGGGCTGTAGAGACAAAAATGAAATTGACTGTGAGCTATTAATAGAGCCTTTATCAGTTGAAATAAGGAGAGAGGGAGAGAAAAGAGGAGAAAGTGGGAGGCCTACAGCACAATGAAAAACAAATGTATTATTCTTATCTCATAAAGAATCTCTCCACAAAGAAACAATTCCTTTCTTCTCTCATTCCCTGATCTTTCTTTCTGTATTCCCATCTCCCATAGCTCCAGCTATAAAGATGCCTCCTCTGCAACAGTCGGGAAGGTTCGGGATCTGGCGTCATTTCGGCGCCATTTCCGAATGGGATTTATGACGATGCCAGCGTCCCAGGACCTGTCGCCTCACTCTTGTGCTGCTGCCATGGCACCACGCTCTCAATCCTGTCATGCTGTGGGCACCGGTGAGGGAGAGGAGCTTGAGAATGGATATTATCCAGACTCAGACCCTCAAAACCAGTCGAATTCATCCCGCTGTCCCCCAACCAAGCCTAAACGCCACCCCAATACTCGTCTCAGTTCTACGGGCCACCAGGAGCACCCTTCCCGTGGGGTCCACGCACCACCTGACACTCCGCCACCTCCACCTCCCAATCACCCACCCAAACACCCAGAGAAGCGGAATGGTAAGTGAGCAAATCAATAGTATATTCACGCTAAAATTAGGGATGTGATTCGATTAAAAAAAAAAAAAAAATCTTGACCAGCGATGATTCTTGAGTAGAGGAAGTTCTCATAAATTTCTGTAACTCTGATGATTCGGATATCAATAAGGAGCCGTCTGACATGTAACATAACCTTGCATCTAAATTTGTGAATTATTTTAAAATATTTGTTGCCAGGAATTTTGAACTGGGAAACTCCCTTGTCCTTAATTATAAGTGCTAATGACTCATGACTATTAAACCATCCATTGTTTCCTGACAGTATATTGTTAGTCATTAATATATATTTTCGATTGAACTATTATGGAATTGATTTGAATCAAAGATAACTTCAATTTTTATCTGTACAGAAATTGTAATTTGGGCCTTGGTTCGGCTTTCTAATTGTCTCGATTAGAATACTTAAAAATGTATGATAATGAGTGTTATTTTTCTGGCTCAGGAAATTATTTTATTCATAAGATCTATGAAAGCAGCTTCTTTTGTATTTCAGTATCATTTTGATTCATTGTTAGAAAAAAGAAAAGATGCAATTTTAATTTGAATAAAATCATGTACAATAAGAACATGTATTAATAAAAGTAAAACGAGTCACATTTGATTTAATGAAACCAGAAAGCTGTACACACCTGTCATGTGGTCTCTGTAAAAATGTCCTCTCTCTCTCACTCTGTGTCACTCTTTTTTCTCTGTTAAACAGCAATGAAAAAATCTGATTCAGGTGAAATGTCAGGACGAAAGGTCCCTCCGTTGAAGCCCAAACGGAGTCCAAGCACACAGCTCTCCTTTGACCCCCCGCCTCCTCGGGTCCCAGCCCCAACCACACCCCTTCCCTTCCAGAGCTCTGAGCCCTCTCCACGGGGCGAGGGTGGAGATGACGAGCCGGTTTACATTGAGATGGTGGGCCAGGTCTTCACCCGAGAGACTCACAACGCCCCGACTCCTCACCCACTCACGCCCTCTGCCACCACGCCTGATTCTGACTCAGACCAAGGAGAGGCCATTTACGAAGAGATGAAGTACCCCTTACCAGACGACAAAACTCGAGAAGCCCACCGCCGCTTGCCACTCAAACATGAGCGGATGAAGTCCTCTAAAGCATACCACTCCACCATCTCGGCCTCCACCTCTTCCTCGCTTCCACGCCCCTCTTCCTCTTCTCCAGCCTGCACCTCTTCCAAGCCTAAAGCTACCGTCTCAATCTCTCACTCCTCTCCTCTGCCTTCGTCCTGCTCCTCTGCATCCTCCACTCCCGTACCTCAAGCCCTCTCCTCATCACCACACCCTCCCCGTGCTCCCACACCCTTCTTGCTGCCAGGGTCCAAGTCTGAACATGAGCCCAGCTCCAGTAAGATCCCAGCACCCTTCCCTAACTTACTTCAACACAAGCCTCCTCTCCTAGCTTTTCCCCAGCCGGCCGCTGCCTCCAGTGGGATAGGGGCTCAACATAAGACCAGCTCGGCTAAGATCAGCGTGCAATCAGCCTCCAGCCTGCCAGCATCTACCAGCACCTCCTCCAGCACAAGCTTCACCAGCACTTCCAAAGATTCCACTGGAGTTGAGAAAGAACGAGAGAAGGAGAGGAGGGAAGGACAGCTGGGACCCACACCGGGACTCAGAGCCCGCAGTCATTCTACTCCTCTTCCTCCTTCATCGAAGTCCTCCTCTCCATATTCCCACCATCATCATCATCACCACCCTCACCACAGGCCTTCCCACTATCACCATTACCGCAAGCCTGAGAAAGAGATGTCGTTAGTGGGCAAGGGATCAGGACAGTCCTCCACCCAGACGCAAACGCAGCCTAAGGAGGGCAAGTCTGTCAGCTTCCTGCTCAAGTCTGAAAAATCTGAGAGGGAAAGGGACCGAGAGAGGGATCGTGATCGAGAGAGAGATCGTGATCGAGAGAGAGACCTGAGCAGCACACCATCTTCCAGTCATTCTGAGACCCCCTCCTCAAACACATACACACACACTTCTCAAACCGGCACTAGCACCACTCCAACGTCGAGTCAACCGTCATTGTCCACAGCCGCCACGCCACCTTCCTCCTCTTCTTCCTCCACTCAGCGCCCTCCATCTCGCTCTCACATGCACCGGTCACACACCCCGCACTTGTCCCATGGTCTTCCTGCTTACAAACCTCCCCCCTCTGACAGCCCCCTGCTTTGGACCTACCCCTCGGTTGGCTTCCGCCGACCGCCTGCCTATGATAGCTTGCGCGGGGGCTTGCAGTTGCCATCCTTGCACACAGACCCCACTAAAACTGGATCTGCAGCCCAGGCATTGCAGGCCAAGGCCGGGTTCATTCCCTGGGAGAGCGCAGCTGCCTTGGGGCTCACAGAAGAACAAGCTTACTGGCCCATGCACCGAAAATTATCATTCAGTCATGGGAGCCGAGACACTGAGAGTGAGTAATGGTTGTAGGGAGGGCGGAATGAGTATGAGGGATGATTATTGAGGGGGTTCTCTTTCTATTGTACTATCGTAGATGTTTAATTGTGTTTTTCTCTCTAATGCTCTGTAGAGGAAGATGGAGGTGTGTGGAATGGCAGTGCTGATGCTCTATTGAGGAGAGAGAGGGATGACCTAGCAGCCATGCGGTGTGGCGGACACTCTGGAATACCTGTGCGGGCAACAGGGAGACACAGCGAGAGCTTGGCTGGGGCGGATGGACCACCAGGGTTGAGAGGACTGATACGAGCGGGCCTGCCCTTACCCTGCCAAACCTTCCCAGCATGCCGCAATGGAGGTGAGATCCAATTGAAATGACATTAGCACAGGCTTTCTGCCATGACCTCAGTAGTTAAAACTCTAGATATAGATCAAGCGTGTTTAGGTTAGAGATAAAACATTTGTAGACTTAGCTCATTAACAACTGATTGAAAAGGTTAGTTGCTTTATAAGATGTAATTTGATGTTAACTCATATGGCTGCCAGGATCAGTGTGCATTGATTTGTTTGAAAAGCATCAGATTTCATTAAAGAATAATAAGATAGCTATAATGTCATTGAAAATAAAGTTTTAAACCATAATGAAAAAATCATGTTACACAATTATCTAAGCAGAACAAATATTCCTAGCTAACTAGCTGCAGTACCTGTCACAGTTATGGGATATTATTGGATATTTAAGAATTGATAACTGTATGCCATCAGTGGCGTAGCGGACGGGCACGCACTGCAGGGGGGCCCCTCTTGTTGGAGGGCCCCGCAAAAACCGTGCCAGGTTGCGCTGATAGACGATGATAGCATGTATTGACGATAGCCAGAGATATTGTCAAAAGCATCGGCTATCGGCCTTATCAAGAGGATTTAGCATTTCCAATTATTGTATTAAATTATTATTATTACTACTACTACTTTTATTATTAAAGCTGCAGTCCGTATCTTTTCCTCTTTGTCGCCATCTCTCTGTTCGAAATCTGTAACTGCAGTGATTCGCGGAATTATCATCTTTACGTGGGTTGTAAATCGGCATGAAACAGCGCGGATGAACACAGTGCTTTGAGGCGAGTGCTGCTGTCAGTCACCGCGCTGTGTGGATACTGTCATACAGAATCACAGATTCACTTTTTGAAAGTTTGACCAACATAAGAATTTTCATAAGAAAATGTCTTCTGAACAAGTAAGTAAAATCCATTTTTGTTCTGACCAACTAAGGGGGAAAAAGCATTCGACATGATAAGCTTCGTTAGATTTAATCAACGCGATTTACAGCAACCGTTCAAATTATAGCCTACTTTGTTCTCAAATTGTTCATGTTAACAACATCACATCAGCATTGCGTGACTAATGTTAAATTTAATGTGTTTTATGGTTACCTGTGTAGTTCAGAATTCATATTCTCCATAATAGCAAAACGAGAAAGGCACAACAAGGAAACTCCATAACTGTGTGAATTAAGAAAACGTACTGTTACACGATTGAACTATTGAAATGTCTTACTTGTTCAGCAGAAAAAAGCCGTCTCTTCTTCCGTTTTGAACCCCTTCAAAACACGGAGTTCACGCACTTTTCAAAAGCCCCGCCGATGTTTAAATCCTTGTGTTCGCATGAGACGGTTTCTTTCTCTTTCTCTAGCCACCTTAAATCCGAAGTACGAAGTCTTTTGGGTTTTATTACTGCTGAATCTCCAGTTGACACTGATGATTGTTGTTTGGATCTTTCTGGATGCCATAAGTTTAATAATGTAAAGTGCTGCGAGAAAAGCCTATACATCTAAACATCTCGTCACGCGCAGTATAGCCGGCTAGCCGAAACTCCTTCTTTATGTGTACGGGTGTGACGTAATGACGCAAAGACATGCTCGAATTTCCCGCGGAAACCCACCAGTACCACTGGAATTAAAATCATTATTACAAGCTAACCGTTTTGAATCTAGCTATGGCAAGCAGATAGTTTTGACCACTGGCAGAATAAGTTTTTTTTAATATAATTATTTTGGATTATTTTTAACTTAAAAAAGTTACGGACTGGAGCTTTAAATTAATATTACAATTCATTTGCCCTAATTTTATAGTGCATCACCCCATAACCATAACCATAAGGAAAATAAAAGCTTAGTAAGATTAGCTTACTCATCATTTCAAAAACAACTTGTTTGACATAAATACTTCTCTTCTCATTTTTTCACTACTTATGGGCCACAAGAGAAATATTAAGCAAATAAATTAAGACCGTTATATATCCTTATCAGCATGTTGAAGTAGATTCAGCTCTCATCTCGTCATTATTAAATAAATGAGTAATTAAACAAGTACACTAAATCAACCCAAGCCCCCCCCACCCCCCCCCCACCCGGACTTGCCCCGTGGATGTGCCTCAAATGCTACGCCACTGTTTTCCATGATATATTCCTGAGTGAATTGACTAAACACTTGAGTCATGCATGTGCAGTGAATATCATGCATTTAATTCACATACCACACACAGTCTAACTTAGCCAAGCAATATATGCATTACACTGTGCAATGCACTTTTAAATTAAGTCAGTGTAATTTTTACAATGCAAACACACCTGCTTTCAATGCAAATGAGGTTCATTATAGAATGCAACGAATTTGCAGACGTCAGCGCTATTTGCTTGCTGCAATTAATGTTGCGCTTTTAGTGGAAAGTAGGGTGGAAAGCAGGCTGAATTTGATTATTATCTGTAGAAACAGTTTGTGTACTGCTTCTATTCATCAAGGCAGCAATAATTCATCAAATTATGATAACGAAGGATAAGAGTGTTATAAACGAGCACATATCCTTTCTGCATTTTTAAAGAATTTTAGGTGGCTGGATTGCAGTGGTGGCGTGATGCTGCACAGTCCCTGCATGCACGTCAAGCATGCCAGATCATGGTGTACTGCATCCCATCCTCCACAACCTTACGGAACTGCAACATACAAATTTCATCAGCCTTAATTTTTGTCCACGTCAGCTCTATTGCGTTATTTGCATAATTCCTTTATATGAACAATGCTATCAGCGAGCATAATTCCTTAGTGATATCCCCCTCCGTGCTCTTGAATGCTGTCATGTACATTTTAAACATATTAATTCTGCTTTCTAAAAGATGGCAATAGGAACTGATTCATGTAAGGTTAAAACTATGTGACTATTTCCATTATTAAAAGTGCAAGTTAAGAATCAAGGGTATGTAAACTTTTGAACGGGGTCATTTTTTATAAAATCAGCTTTTTTGTCTTGTGGACTATATGCAAATATTTTATGTAAAATATCTTATTCAGGACAGTACTAAATAAAAAAATAACATGACTTTTGTATAATCAGATTCTGCAAGGTGTATGTAAACTTTTGAGCACGACAGTATTTTAGATTTGACTTCTTGAGACTTAACCTTGCAAAATAATAACTTGACTCTGTGTCTATGATCTTTTATAGAGTTGGGTCGCCTTGGCAGGTCTTCCTCCACTTCAGGAGTGAGACAAGCAGGGGGTGACGTTCAAAGGCAGAGCAGCCTGCCGGCCAGAGAAGTACTCAACCAGGTAACACACACACGCCAACTCTATTAAAGCTATCACTAACTCCACATAAACACACACTCAGAGAGTTATCATATACCTACAGTGTTATATATACCTGCAGTGTTATAGTTTCCCCAGCCCTGTTTAAACACACTCATCTGGGTAAAACTGTTATCACATTAGGTTTTGAGAATTAAATTACTTTGGATCTGCTGCCATTTCTTCTGCACAACTTCAAAGAAGGTATTTTGAAGAAAGTTTTAAGTGGTTTTGTTCATACAATGAAAGTCAGTGGGGTCCAGAACAACACTTTTGTGTTCCACAGAATAAAGAAAAAACTGTTTACATGCACAACTTTTGTTTCAATCGGACTGAATTCATTCCGATTGATGAATCTGAATGTAGTGTTTACATGAACGCTAAACATGTAATTGGGTTGATGTGCGCGTTTATGTCACAAGCTTCAAATCGGAATATATTTTTTGACATGCGCACACTGCACAAATATTCTGAGTTTCCCGCTGTTTGCGTATAATAACCATTCTCCTACATTGTTTCTTTATTTGTTTTAAACAGCAGACTTAATATTTATCCATTTCTTTCTGGTCATAATTTGGAGACCATGAGTATATTAACCGCTGTGCCGTGCTGCTTATATTTATCACGCAGTAAAAATGCCCCTCCTCGCACCCAAAACCAGTCGTCTGTGGATGAGAATCCGAAACAAGGACTGGTGGGACGTTCTCCTGCTCCACTTCACAGACGCTGAGAAAAAGGAAAATGTCAGAATAACTGGACACTCATTTATTTGACACTTTATTCAACAGGAAGAACACCTCGTTCCGCGCGTCATACATTACGCTATTTCTACGTCATTGTACATGCGCAGTCCTTTCAGTTTCGGTTTTCAATCCGATCAAGTGTTTACCTGTCCTCTCGATCGGATTACAAAAGGAATAAACCACCCCTTTCAATCCGATTGAAATTTCATTTGGATCGACCTCAATCGGATCAATTAAGATGTTTACGTGAAGGATTTTCAGTCCGATTGAGCCGTCAATCCGAATGAAATTCCAAAACAATGACAGAATTTTAATTTAGGGGTGAACTATTCCTTTAACAAATGTTAGTTTATATATCTTGAAATGCTAATTATTTATTTCTATATGTTGAAAATATGTAGAAATTAACATTAGCCAAAATAAAAGTAAGCATGAAACAGAAGTTATGATCATGTCATCAGAGAAGAGATGTTGTTGCCAGGGGGAGGGGAAATTAATCTTTTATCAAAGATTAAGAGGGCACATGACCTTCAAAAAAATAAAGATGTGCACTGATGAGTCAATATTCCATAAAAAAGAGTTGTCAATTTTGATTTCATAGTGACTTTAATAAATGCTGTAAAATAAAAGAATTGTTGAATGTAGCGACACAAAGATTTACTATATTTCACTCCCACAGCGGTTCTCCCAAACATTGGAAAACAAGCTTGCATATTCTGTCTGGGCCTGATTATTGGACTGTATGCTGTTGACCTTTAATTCACCTCGTACACCAACCTGACACTCTGAGAAAGAGCTTATTTGCATATTGTGCTTTTCAGTGCAGGGTCTTCAGGAAATGCTTTGAATTCACACCGGCTTGTTCAGCCTCAGTCGGTGTAGATACTGCAGTAATTAATTAAATTCAGTTCAACTGGTTAACATGCTTAAGTGTAATTGAAACCAAGCTTGACAGTTACGGCAGGTGATCTGAAACTAATTTCATTCCATTTTGTGCCCCTGTGGCTGCTATTCCAGACAGTCATTAGGTAAATCGCGGAGCCCATTGAGTCACCAGCATCCCCACCCAAACATGTCTGTATCTGCACTGCACTCCGCTGCAGGGTCAATGAGTGCAGAGAAAAAGGGGGATGAATACAGAGCGGGAGCGAGGCAGAGAAATGCAGCAGAGGGAAAGACAGACAGAGTGAAAGGGGGAGCAAAATGCAGCATAGAATAGAAAAAAGTGGCGACAGAATGAAAGAGAGGGGACAGACACAGCACACGGGTGGAGAAAACAGGTGCAGCAGTAAGAAAGTGTGTTTTTTGTCAGTCTGTGGCAGGCAGACAAACACTCTGTGAATGATCAAACTCAAACCTAGTCCCGCTGCCGGTGTCTCTCCGTGTCGGTCGGTGACAGGCTTTGATTCTGCCGTCTGACTGTCTCTGTCAGCGGTTTGTTAAAGAGCCATTTTTGGAGTTTAGTATGTTTAATGTGTGAAAATTAACAAGGAGAATCCAGGCAGACTGCGCACATGCAAAGCAGCTCATGTTTTTTTATGTGTTAACAGACAGGGATATTCCAAGTCCTATAGTTCTAGCGGTGTGTGTGTGTGTTGTATTAAAGACAGACTGGTGTGCGACACATGCAGGAAAGAATCTTTCATTTTCAATCTTGTTGAATGTTAGCGGCTGTACAGAAGCCTCTATTCTTTTCCCCTGGTGTGCTGTTGTCTCTTGGCAAAAGTTCACATGCTGACACAGTCATAGTGTGTGTGTGTGTGTGTGTACACACCACAGAGATTGACTTGGTGAGCTGATATGACCTTCCCATTTAGAGAAGGGGGATGGGACGGATGCTGTGAGTTGGCGCTATGCCGCTATCTGGTGGCGTTCTTTGATATAGCATAAAGCACACACCCAGAGTCCACAAAATACACATATTAAGTGGAAAAATGTGAATAAAACTTGCCAGTAACTTTATTAGTGGTTAAGGTTGAATCGTAACATCTATAGTCTGACGTGAGCGATTCCTGATGTGACTGCCATATTATAACCATTTTAATCTTAAAAAAGTACTATATATATATATATATATATATATATAAAATACTGTATATATTGTTGTTATTGTAAACATATAAAACATGTATTTAAAAAATATATAATTTACAATACAAAATCTCTTTCAAGGCAAGTATAAATATCTGTGGCCTCCTCTCAAATCATCTATCACTGACAGGTGTACTTGCACAAAAATTCATAATAAAAATGCATCAAGCAGCAAAACAAGAAACTTTTCACTGTTGTATGATATATTTGATATTTGAAGCATTGTGATAAATACATTTTGTACCCTATAAAACATAATATAAAATAATAAAATGCTGGAAATATCTACTATAATATAATCAAATATTTGCAATTTATATGTTGTTTGTGAAACGATTTATTCAATCTAAATTTTTGACAATTTTAATCGCCCCTCAATGTTGTTATCGTTAGCTAAAACTATTTTCGGTTGAAATAAACTTCATGTTGAAAAAGCTGAAATAAAATATATTATAACTATCAGATGAAAACAAAAATTAGAAAAAGTTAAAGTCGATGTACTAAAATGATTGAACTACAACTGAAATAAAAATAAATAAATAAAATTAATTCAACAAACATTTAAATGAAATAATAAAAGCTCATTTAAAATACTAATAAATACTATAATAGTTTATTTTTAAAAAAAAATACTAAAATAGCACTGATCACCCTCAATGCACCTCTCGCTTTTGGCAGCCAGATGGTGTAGTTATGCCGTCTACCACTTGACATGCAAACCAGACAAACCTTTATATCTTTATATCAAACAATCACATGACGAACCACTGCATTTCATCTGCTCTGAACTATGCGAACTAAAGTCATTTCAACAATGTTTCTCTCCCTTTCACCTCTCAACCATCTGTACCGTCTGCAGTTCCACTCTCTCTCGCAGGTTCAGTGTCAGGCTCCCTGCAGTCCGTCTGTGAGCCGGCAGCAGCAGTACCAGCAGCAGGTCCAGCTCCAGTTCCAGCAGCTGGCTCAGCTCGCCGCGCAGGCCCAGGCTCACATCGGCACCTCCGCAGCCCCGGCCCAGCGAGACGGCAAGCTCCTGGAGGTGATCGAGAGAAAGCGCTGCCTGTGTAAGGAGATTAAGGCTCATCGCCGGCCGGATAAGAGCTTATGTAAGCAGGACAGTATGCCTATTTTACCCAGCTGGAGGAGAACGCCGGAGCCCCGCAAGACTGGAACGCCGCCCTGCCAGAGGACGCAGGCTGTGGTGTGGGACACGGCTATCTGACCAAGGTAGAGAGAGGAGAAAGGGTAGGGAATATGAAAGTCATGACCGATAGAGACAGGGGAAGTGGAAATCCTTTCTTTTTTGTTTCTTTTTGGTGTAAAAAGACAAAATGGGAATTTCGCGAGAAATGAGAGAAGTGGCCTTTGAGTGAAGAGATTAAAATAAAACTGGAAAAACAAAGTGAGAGCATTTTGACAAGAGAGAATAGCATGATTTAGATTAAATCTCTCTGTAGAAGCAGGAGAAAACATGTGTTCACACAGTGTTTATGTGCCATATAGATGCAGCAGCCAACACACACACATTGGAGTCTGAGCTCTCTTTGAGCTGCTGCAAATTTAACCTGTGCTGCTGAGTTTACAACCCTTTTTGAAACGCACTGGAAACCTTTGGAGCATCGCAACGTTCGTACTCTAAATATAATCCATCAGCGAGGAGAATAGACATGCTTTTTCCTCCAAGGATTGAAGAAATGATCAAAACTTGATGCGTTAAGAATGAAGAGACGCTGAAAGATCATAGTGGGGCTTTTCCTCATATCATAAACTCTCTGTGATTTTGGACTTGTGTGTTTTTACTGACCAGATTTACTCAGATATGCTGCTGTTTCCTGGGCATCCACTACACTGATGTTTTTTTACATTCCAGAAGAGTGTGTGTGTGTGTGTGTGTGTGTGTGTGCGTGTGTGTCATGGTGAACTTTGAAGATGTATCTTTGCATCAGAGGTGTGTGAGGTTGGATGTAGACCAGGAAATTCAGACACAGAGAACAAAATTGCAAAGAGTACAGGGGAACGTTCAATAAAACAAAATTCGACATACTGTATGTATACACTTGCTTACACATTCAGACATGATGATGGAAATGATGATGAAGGTCTGTGTGGTACTGTTGTAGATTGTAGAAGAGATCCATTTTAAGTCTAATTACTGCCTATTGATTGAGTGCCAATTTGCTGAGTGCGGTGACACGCGTGTCTCTGAATCTTGAGAGTATAAGAAAAGCTGTTCAGCAGAAGTTACGTGACTTTTGTAGCAATATTTGTTCAAGCAGGAAACTGATCATTTGCCACAGTCCAATACAAAATAATGATGGAGAACCAATAACACTAGGTCAGATCCGCATTGCATTATTTTGCAAGGGCAAATCAACTGAAATTCACTTGATGAAACTAGTGACCAGTAAGATCACCAGATGAGCTTCATTACAAAAACCATCATAGGAAAGAGAGTGAGGACCAATGCACAGGCTGCTTTAACACAAGGTGTCATTGTATTCACCTAAAAACTACCATATTTATGCATCTGTTTACATTTAATCTGTATCTGAGCATATGCGGAGCTAACATCCAACTGTATTTTTCAGTCCTTTTGGCAGAATAGTCTCATGTGTCAATCAACTGGGGTTTGATAAGATAGAGTGACATATATAAAAGGACTTTGTCAGTTGTATCTTAAGTACAGTAAGATTGAGCAATCCAGTCACCCTGTCTCTTTGAGAATAAAACAACAAAAACACAACTTTACACACTGTCCAGTGCTCATGCACACAAGCATATACACACGAACACACACACTCGCAGCGCCTTATTGGGAAAAATGAACATGCAGGGGCGCTCCTCAGACCGACGTTGGAACTTTCCGCACAAAACAAAGCGAACCACATGATATCGAGATTAAACAAGGAAAAAGTACACAAGTGTTCAAATCTGTAAAATAAACATGTACAACTATTGATTATGTAGCAATTATTTTCACTTTCATACTTGTAATCAATAAATATATTGTAGCATATAATGTATAAAAGTACAAGGTGTTTAATTGTTTTATAAAGAAATGTAGTAGTTTTATCTGTGGCTACCTGTCTACACTGTACTGAATGGACCGCTGAAAGGCGAACCCTCTCTACTAAAGGCACAGTCTCAGACACTCTCACACACACACCGATGTTTTTCCAGCTAGTGTCATGCAAGTCCCTTTAAGCAACTTAAGTCTGATCTCATTGATACCCCACCTGGCTCGTTGGAATATCAGTTGGATATTTTTGAAGTACTTCTGCTGCTATATTGAATTTCTACTTTTGCTTACATATCCCTCACTGCTGTTGTTTCATTTCTCTTTTGAGTGCTCTATAATTATTTTATTTTTTTTATTTTTTATTTTTTTTTGGGGGGGGGGGGGGGGGGGACATGCAATGGAGTTTTGGGGAGGTGGATACTTTTGTAACTGTTGGCAATTGAACGTTTCTCAGTTGTTGTTGTTGTGGTTGTATTTAAAAGTTGTTGTTATTTTTTGAATAGTTAACAGCACCAACCTGTACAGTTCTCACCCTGGCAACACTACTGTAAATGTGATGGCAATGTTGCAGTGATGTTGCCAAGGGTTTGACATGCTGTCATCACAACACCGGGGTTTCACTGCACCATTTGAAATACAGACTTTATCAAACAGTACGGAGGACCACAGTAGAGGAGGGCTGGCGCAATGCATGCTGGGAATTATTGACGGATTCCCTTAAAGATTCAGTTCAAGGTTGGGCTGTGTCCCAGTCTTTATAAATTGTGCCCAGTTTGTACTTCAGATATACTAAATAATCACCTAGTGGCAATTTATTAAGATGAAAAGGGTAACTTAAGTATTATTGGGTAAACTAGTTTACAGAAACTGTCGGCTTTGCGTGTCTACATAAATGGTGGCCATATTATGAGTGCCATAATATATTGGTATGGTAAGATACGGTGTACCTTGGAAATCACTGTAGTGCTATATTTGCATTGATATCGTCATGAAATAAATTTTATATGATGAACATAGCATCACGTGTGCGAGTAACAGTGTGTGTGGATGTGTGTGAGAGAGAGAGTGAGTAAAAGAAACTGTTGAAACCCACATGGCTTTAATGTCTTTTTGTCCTGCAGTCTACTCATGATACGATCTATTGGATATCTGCTATCACAGTCTGATTCACTCTCTCTTCATCCTGACCTTCTAGGCTTGTTGTTTCAGCATCCAGTTTCACTGTGGGCAGTTGTTCCTTACTCAAGTGTCAGCATCATGAACACAAAGTACTGTAACAACAACAGTCAGTTGCAGAAATGTGTCGACTGATTTGCTGTTCACTGATGCCCATCAAAGATGCAGCTCTCATACAACTTCTGTTGTTCTACAGTCTCCTCCTTCTAAAAATGGCTGGGTTAAAAATAACCCAATTGGCAACCCAGCGTTGGCTAAATATTAGACAGAAGAACACGTGCTGGGTTAAATTAACCCAGTGACATTTTAACCCAGCAGGCTGGGTTGTTGAGAGAACCCAAGATGTAGTCTCTTTTTGGATTTGCTATTCTGGGTTATTTTTGCTGGGTTATTCTTATCATTTCACCTGTGCTTTACTGTAAAACTATGAATTAAGAAATAATGAAGAGCATGTTTAGACTGTTAAAGGTGCTCTATGTAACTTTTAGCGGCCTCTAGTGGTGATGTTTCAGATTGCAACCAAATTTTACAAGAGCGCTCGTGCTCGAACTCATAGACAATACCATTACGCAAATATCTCGGCGAATACTAGACGGATTCGGCGAGCACCGAGCTCGTTGGGACCATCCAGTCGAGCTAAAAAGAAGAATATACGTTCCATAGTTCTCTTACGAGAGTATCTCTCGTACTGCGTAATAGCTTACGCTAGGGGAAAAACTCTTTTCCGCGAGATATTGAAGCCAAAAATTATCCTTAATTTTTTATTAATGTAAAACGCTTTGCAGCAGCAAGCAGACATAGGCGAAACAGCTCGCGCGCCTATTGGTTGCTCTGCAGCAAATGCAGCAGCCTATCGAGAGAGACTCTGCGTGACGTAATGACCAATGGGGGCAATTCGCGCCCATATCGTCACGTCCCGCCAGAAGGGGCGTGGTCTCACCCTATAAATATGCTCGTTAGGCTGATACAAGCTGATTTTTACCTCTTCAGCGAAGCACACGCATCGCTGGATCCGGAGTGAGAAGCCGCGCCGTCGAAGCAAGCCTTTCAGCGGGACGAGCTCTGGAGTCGCTGGCCTCGCCGCCTTCAACTGCCGTACCTGCTGCGCTTTCCGGCGTTCTATATCCTTTCATACTCTGTGTGTATTTACTCTGTTGAGAGTGTTTGCTCGCTTACTTGACGCGACTCACACTTCTCTCACAAAAAGAGCTGCGTCTTTTTAAAGATGCCTTCCTGTGGCTCGTGCCGCGCCCCGCTCAGCGATGGAGACCGGCACGTCATCTGTGTTTCCTGCCTGGGTGAGGATCACGCGGCTCTCGCGCTCGCTGACGGCGGATGCCCTCATTGCGAGCTTTTGCCCATGGTGACTCTGAGGACTCGCCTGGCATCATTCTCCGAGCCTTCACCGCAGCCCGCCGTGGTGCCGCGCCGCAAGAAGCGCCGCGCCCAGCGCGCTCCCGAGCTTTCTCCAGCCCGCCAAAGCTCGCCGGTTTGCCCGCCAGCTTCGCCGGCTTCGCTCGAGTCGATCACTGACGGACAACGGCCGCCGCCTGCCGCCGCGTCCATCCACGAGTGTGACGAACCCACCGAGGCGTGTTCTCTTCTGGCATCCGATAGTGAGGATTGGGCGAGCTCCGTAGATCTCCCCTCCGCTAGCGTTTCCCGCCAGCCCACTGGTAAGAGAGCCGGCATTGAGACTGAGCTGATGCGTCTGCTCTCTCAGGCCGTGGAAAGCATCGGCCTCGATTGGGAGGCGCCCGCGCAACCGCCGCGCAACAGGCGAGCTCTGTGGACCTCCGCCTTCTGTCCGCGAGTCGTCAAGGAAACGGGCCAGCATCAAGACCGCAAGCCCTAAAACCGCGGCTAGCTTTCTTTACGTTATAAGAAATCTACCCCGCCCCCCAATGGGCGTGCGTCACCGGCAAATGAGAAAAGAGTGTTTTTTAGTCCCCGCCGAGGCCGGACTAATCTCCATTTCTTAAACATTTCTCAGCTCCTAGTTTGAGCGGCTGAAAATGTCATTATTGCAGCAATGAGCCTGTTGTATGACACGCACACCTGCATACAAACGCCGACACACACAAAACTGTGATGACACTCTCTTATCTGCTTGCGCTAGTGTAGTTCTCCCTGTGGCCCAGTGGCGGAACCCTAAGCTTTCACGCGGGAGACCCGTGTTCGATCCCGGCTCTCGCAGCAGATAAAAATTTAGTCTCGCCGCGGCCAGACTTCCACCAAAAACTTTTCGCTCGTTCAGTTCCAGAAAATGCGACTGTTCCAGTGTATTTTGCAGTAAACAAGCTGGTACCACGGCCCGCTTGCCTGCACATAAAGGCCGTTTCCACGGCAACCTAGAAATATCATGTGATCATTGTATTTCTGGTTTTCCGGCCACAGCCGATGGTGTTATAAGTGTAATAAAATGCTCACAGCCCAGTGTTCATTTCTACACACAAACACAGCCCGCCACGGTACAGGGCTCACACAAATGAAATCGACGCATGTCAATTGTGCATTAAATGTAGTGAATGTGCCCACAACCCAGTGCCCACAAACACTACCACGGTTTCTGTAAAACGAAACCAACACAAGTCTTCCTAGCCTCCTAGGAAATCGACGGTGTTTCAGTCTCGCCGTGGCCAGACTTCCACTGAAATTTTCGCTCGTTCAGTTCCAGAAAATGTGACTGTTCCAGTGTATTTTGCAGTAAGCAAGCCAGTACCATGCCCGCTTGCCTGCACACAAATGCTGTTCCCACGGCGACCCAGATTAATCACA